AGGTTTGAAATATTAGAGAATGTTCAATGAAAATTGATCCGCACACACTTCCAATTGAAGTTGAGTATGTTAAAATATGTGAAAGATAAGAATTATGGTGATCAAAGTTCGACCAAAACTAAAAAACCAATTGACCAAACCCGACCAAAATATAAATTTTGGTTAAGTTTTTACATTAGTAAGTTGATTTTTGCTTTTTCATTTTTAAAAATTTGGTTAGTTTGGTTGGTGTCGGTGATGCAAATTCACGTGTCCAAAATAACTGAACCAACCGAATTGTATATATAATCTATAACTAGATGGTTCAGCTGTGAACCGCACATCGACTGCAATTTTGTTTGTTTTTTATTTAGTTCGTTAGTTCTTTAAATTAACCTAGCATTATTAGTTATATTTTTTATAATTCTTTATTTTTTTTTATTTTTTTTTTTTGTGGACGCATTAATAAACTGATGTAGATGCCAATTCAAATGACATGTGAACTACATGAACAGAGTTTTTGTGAAAAGAACGCCATGCATTATATATTCAAAGCTTTTGCATGAACTTAGTTTCTATGAAAAGAACGCTATTCATTTATATATTTAGAACTTTAAGTGTTGCACAATTTAAAAGAAATTGGCACAATTATAGCATGGTAAGTATCATACCCAGAGGCGGATCCAGAAATTTTATCGAGTGTGGGCCCAAAAGTAATTTTCATTTTCTATAATTGATTTATAAAAAAAATAGATTATGATTTTCAAACTCATAAATATAATATTAAGTTCTTATACTCAAATCTTTTACAAACTAAAACTACGTCGAATTTAAGTGTGTTATAGCATGAACCTTAAAATATATTATAGAGATAATAATAAATTAGAATCATAATGTTGTTACTATATTTACAAAAAGAGATTGGATCGAACTGGAGTTGAAATCAATTAGTTGATCATTTTGGTTTGAACCAGTAAAAAAAGGTCAAAATTGGTCAATTGGATGGATCCGATTTTTTTCCTTCTAAAAAATAAGTTTTGATAATTAAATATATTTTTCAAATAAATAAAAATAATTATGTAAATATTGAATATATATATATATATATAAATTATTATATTTATTAGTTTAGACATTTGAGTATTTTAAATTATCTAAATGTTTGAATAAGATGAATTCTATATAAAAAAGAAGTTAATTATTTAATGTAATATATAATTATAAATATTAATGAATTAAGTACCAATTCAAGTATTGACCAATGAACTAAAATGATAAAGTTTGGTTGTTGATTCATAAACAAATAAACACATAAAAAAATAAAAGTAATTATGAAGTGAATAAAAGATAAAATCAAATGCACCTAGATGGTTTGAAACAAGTAAAAGAGATATCATCGTCTTTTATTTATATTCATTTTCCTTGTATAGTTTTGTTTGCTTAGGACTAATGCATTAAAATTATTTGATTTTACATCCAATGTATATTTTTTACCCAAAATTTGAGTGAGGGCCTTGGCCCCCACTGGACCCAAGATGGATCCGCCCCCATCCTGATGCCACTATACAAGCTTGCTAAATTTAATTTGGGAGAACATCATAATAAGTGTTGATCTCGACAATCAGTATTTATTACCATTGAATATTGTTTGAGGAACATATGCATGTAATTTAATAGATACGAATCACACAATAGAGTACAGATAATTTTGTAATTGTACTCTGAAATTTGTGGGAACTTAGAAAATTGTCACCGTTTATCTTCCATGAATTAATTGCAAACTTGTTTCATTCGCGAACAATAACAGGAAATGTACATCGTTTTCGTTTATTGTTTATTGGTGTTATGTGTTTGTCCGTGTACTGTTATTTGAAAATGAATTAGAGTATACCAGAAAATGCAGACGATTCATTTGCAATAGAAAATATATGGAGCAATACTTAATAATAAGAACAGACTTCTTTGGCTACTCCGTTGTGCAATGTTTTTTTTTTTCACCAATTGTGAAGCAAATGCANAGGGAACCGAAAATGCTGGTCACTAAATCGAAGAAAGGGAACACTATCTAGAAGCACGCAGGGCAACAGCAAGGCGCAGGAAGGGAAACCAAAGAAACAGATACAGAGGCAAATTAAAATAAGGTGAGAATAAAATATGTGATTGGCAAGGATGAATATGTACACCATAACCTAGTAACAGTGAAATACAATAAAGCGCCTATTAAAAAGAGAGGCACGCACGTAGGTTGTAAAAAAAAAAGGTGTAATAAAGGGTCAAAAGATGCCCCAAAATTCAGAAAAAGAAGAAAACAAGAATGCATCGGTCATATAAATTACCCCACATGAATGCACAAAATGTGGCAATCACACAAGGTACATCAGAAAGTTCATCTCAAGAACACCAGGAAGCAAAATAACCAGACATAAAAAAAACCACAATCCAAAAATCACATAGCACAACTGATTAACAAAAGCATAACAAATTTTACCTCGTTTGAAGATCGTCCCCCAAATGTATCTTTCTCCCTCGAAAGCCTCTTCAACAATTCAGCCCTGAACTTCAGAGTCTCCTAAATTTTCGTTTTTTCCAAAAAAAAGTAAGTTTTTTCAAAAATAAAATCATCATTTGCAAAATGAAGAGTTGAGGGAAAAAAATTTACCTATGGCACCTGTAAATTTAGGTATGGGGTCAGGACACACGTACGTACGTCTAAGGCGAGACCGCTCTGAGAGATCATTAAATGGTTCCCGGTGATGAGTTGTGCACGGCGCGTATGAACAATTTGTGTAAAATTACTCAACTTCTGCCTCCCGTGGCTAGTTCTGCACAGCTCGTGCCTGATCTTGCGCCGCAAGCTCCCTAGCACGCGACGGATGGGGCGGCGGGCGATTTCGAGTCGGAGGCTGTCAATTTGAAGGTAACCCGGTGGCGGCTTCGTGGTAGGGAGGCTCGTTGGGGAATAAGAAGAGATCGAGTGGATTGACCGGCGGAGGGGCAACGATTTCAATGGTGGCGTGTGCGTCGGAGGTGGAGACGGACCCGGTCACTCTTCTGTTCTCTCTCAATCAGTCAATAGTGTTTCTTCGCAGTTCGCAAGTGGTGAATGTGACTCTGGAATTTAGGTTCTTTGGAGCATAAAGACAACAAAAGTCGTCACTTTCGAGACTTAAATGACCAACATGCCCCTCCAAAACAACATAAGGGCAACTTTGGTGGGAGCTTTATAGAGGTTTGTAAACTCAAACCTCACAGGTTTAACTATTATTATGGTTTAATGTTTAAGTTTATGAACCAGAACTGAGAACACAAACCTCTTAAAAGTCCAACAATTAAAAATGGTGATTGGATATGAATTCAACTAGTAAGAAATTAGTTTTTTTTTAATTATAGTTAAATTTGAAAAAAATAGTATGGTTAGTTGTTAGTGGATATATTAAAATAATATTTAAATTAAAATAATTAAAGTTGATTTGATGTAAAAGTAGGAGAAAATGATTGGAAGTGATGATTAGTTAAAACTAGTACGAATCCCGTGCGATGCACGGGTAAGAGATACATATTAATATTTATATTAAACGATGCGATATACGTTAATAACATAACACGTAGAGAACTAAAGTAAAACATAACCACACGTATGTCTATATATTTGAAAATAAAATTAAAAACATAACCATTTGCTTATATTATCAACATCTTGTTGTGTAACAAAATTACAGAAGTCAAAATAAAACGTTGGAAAATCAGTAGGATACTCCAACACTTTGTAGTAATAAACTGTGATTTACTAATGTTATTTTCTACCATCCTCGAACTTGTCACTCATCTTACGTCATGAATTAGTCCAATTATGCGGCCACCCTGTAAAATCGCAATATAAAAATAATATTTTCGTCAAAAAAAATAAAATAACAAATATTGACAACTACTATTAAATCACATAATGAAGAATACTAACATGACTATCGTGGAAAACTATTTTCAAATAACTTCTGTAAGAGACATCAAATATCGTCTTAAACATGCTGCTGGAAGTTTCAAGATATCCCGCCTGGATTCTATCATTTTTACACCCTACTCCCTTTTTCTTTCCTTTACAATCTGCTCACGGAGTATATGCAGCTCTAGATCTGACATTGAGGCTTGTTATATAAAGTTACCACTTCTGATCTCAACTCTCTGTACAAACTGCCGATTTTTTTAATACCTTTTTTCAATAAACAGCACATAAACTATTCTTTTGAGGAAAAAATCATCAAAAACGCTTTTTAAGAATTTGTAAGACCTTTAAAACCACTCTGAAGTCGGAAACAACTCATAAGTTGTTATTTCAAGGGGAAATATTGATTGTTTTATGAGCTTATAAGCTTTTAAATATCTTACATGTTTTGAAGGGATTTTAGCTAAACACATCACCTGAATACTTTTTGAATACTTTGGGGCAGTAACCCTTCCATTTAAACTCGCACAGCTAGTGGGGTGACGCAGTTTTAGAACCTTCCAGAGGAAACTTTGTCCAAAATTTCTCCTTAGAGCCGAAAGCCAACGACTTCAACTCGAGCAATGGAGGCTGTCCGAGTCGTCTCACTTAATGCCTGCGCAGTTAAAGATGATATCGGTAACAAAAACCGCTACATTTAAACAATTCTTCAACATTCGAAAATAAATCAACTGAACGTAAAAAGAGAAAACGAAGCTAGATCCTTTTGGACACAGCCGAACACAAACGACGGGCAAATGAAGAAGCAATAAAAATGTTTGGAAAATGTCCGTGCTTGCGGCCTCAACGGCCGAGTTTCTAAGCTACTCGTGATGCACGTTGTCGCTCTCTGAGCTCGACATCGTGATGTCTGACCCGCTGGACCCATGGTGGGGCCTGTTCGGCACCGTAATGTTGGAAACGGTTTTATTAAACGACACAACCTGTGATACAAAACATAATTTTGTAAATAAAAATGAAAATAGAAGGTCCACATAGAAGGATTTTAGAAGCCAATCACCATTTCCAATATGACGTGGCATCAGCAGTTTGTTTTTTCTTCATTTTTAAGGAAAAAAAAATCATAAAAGTGGTAAAAGGTATGATGAAAGTGAAATGCGTCAGAGTTGCTCCTCATGTGTTCGTCTATGTCACCATTTTCCATCTGTCCCTCCAAGCAGTGATCTTTATAATCCGATTTTATACCCTGTAACAACACAAAGTGTGGACGAATTTTTACCCTGTAGCAACACAAAGTGTGGACGGATTGCTCAGATATAGTAGGAGTCCTAAAAGCAATTGAAAAATTTGTTCTTAAGCAAACATTATCTTGGGAATAATCTTTTAGGGACTTGGTGGAACTAATACAAATCGAGTTGATTTATCNTCGACCATTCTACGGTTCAGAGCCGCTGTTACCCGATTCTAAGCCAAAAATCCCCTTTTCTCAAGCCAATTTTCTTGAAAACAATCCCCAAACAAAATGACAATTTTTTTTTTTTAAAAAAAAGCAAAAGATGTTATTGTGTATTATATCTTCAAAAGACAAAAATCTCCAAAAAAATAAAAAAAAAAATGATACCAAATTGGCAAACAGCCGTCGCCATCGCCGTCTCCCTCCTCCTACGCCTTCGCCGGATCCGACATCCCCACGGACCTCCGAGCAGAAAAATCTCCAAATCTGGACTTGAAGTGAAGCAGAAATCTGGGGTTTCCACCGCCGATGGAGCCGAATTCCGTCGTCACGGAACTGAATAACCTGACGCCGGTCTTCAAGGACAGGCAAAGTAGCTAAACTTAAGCAGTGAGCCCGGCTCCAAATCTAATGGAAAGTTCGTGGCGATCGCTGGCGACGATCGCGGCGGAGGAGAAGGGGAGGTCAATGATGCTGAGGGGAATTTTGGCCTTGATAATTGGAGGGTTTTGGATCCTCCGTGAGTGAGATTTTCACGATGAGTTTTTTTTTTCGAGTTATACCCGCATATTATTGTGCTTGCAAGATTGTATGAGTGGTTGTACCGAAAAAAAAAAGATTGTATGAGTGGTAGATTATATAGAATATGAAAGTTGAGATAATATAGGACGTATCCAAACAAAATTTTGGCATAAAAATCTGACCAAATCTGACCAAATCTTTAAGTGATAAAAAAATAAAATTATCCAAAATCATCCCATATGAGAACCGGCGGGTATATAGGCTTAAATCAGTAAAAAAAGCCTCCAAAAATGTTGAATTGCATATGGGCGGGATTATTCAATTTTTTACCAAAAAAATCCTCATTATAGTATTTATTTAGGCGGGAATTGAATTTTTTTTTTTTGTTGATTTTTTCAAACAACTATCATTCCCTCTTTATATATTAATAGATTATGTGGGTGGGTGAATAGTGAATTAAAGTTGATGTGATGTGTAATAATTATTGGTTGATATTATTTAATTATATTGATAATATTGGAGATAGTGGAGTTGAGTTAAAATTGAGTTAAATTTGAGTTTTGAATGGAATATTTACTGTACAAATTATATACAATCACGCCCAAAAGGAATGAGAAGAAAGAGAAAGAAGTGCTCCCGAGCGTGAGGAATGGGCGAATGGCCATTGAATTTCTATTTTGGGAATTGTAGGCACGCGCTACAAGTTGAGTTAAAGAGAGGATGGCCCACCTTTTCTTACTTTTTCTATGTGACACAAATTATTTACAATGTAGTGGATATAAATTATTTTGGCTTCTTTAAAACATCCTTCTATATTTCTATGACATAAATTATTTTACAAAAATTAAATTGAAGTTCAATTTTTATTAATGACTGAAAAATTAAAATTTTATAAATTTTATTTTAATGAAAACCAAAAAACATGTAATCTTCTAACATTCTATAATTATAAATAATGCAGTATAATTATATTATTATTTTTATATGTATTTATGATATATATATATAACATTTAGATCAAATAAAAATAAGTTAACGTTATAGTTTTAAAGTTTTAATAAAACTTAAGTGAGAAACATGTGAGACCCATAAAAAGAGGTTTATGGGTTTTATTGTTATTGAAGGTTTATATGTATAGGAGTAAGAATGAGGTTTTGGATGATGTGTCATATTGAAAAGTGTAAAAGGAGATTTATGGGGAGTTATTGTTAAAGATGCTCTAATGACAGGCTAATCTATACTAATATAAAAAGGTTATTGGAAAAATACATAAATAGTAACTTTGACTTTTTAATTAAATGATTGACTTACTATTATTATAAATGTTTTTAAAAGCACATGAGATTAGGAAAAAAAGGAGCAAATCAATTTCATATACTGTTTTTTAGGAAAAAAACAGGTGCATATTTTAAAAATAGATGTTACCTTATCTTTTTTTTTTTTAGGAAAAAAACAGGTACAAATTAATTTTCTTAGTAAAGTTATCGTCTTTTCTAATGGTTTGTTGAACGATCTCATTTCCCACACAATTTTGGCAACATCCGTCACTATACTTTCAAAATAATATGCTTATTATTACATAGAAAACTCGATTTTCAAAATGAGATTATAGTTTTGGTGAATAGTTTCGATAAGTTTTATTTGGTAAAAAACGCGTGAATATACCATGATAATATGTATTTTTGGTAACATCCTATTCGTGTTTTCGTCCAAAAAAATATTTAACAAAATTTGCAATTTAGGAGAATATATTTTATTTTGAAACATCCATAACATATTTTTTATAACATTTAATTTAGGCAAATAGAATATTTAAGTTTGAGTAAGAATAGTACAATTCAAATAACGCATCAATACAGTCTAAACTGAAAATGTACAATAGTATAAAAAATAATTTGATATAGAAATGCATCAATACAATCAAAATATAGAAAATTTGATATTTATTTTAGATGACAATATATCATTCTAATATTCACCATTAGTTAATGCGAATATGAAAAAATATTATCAAATATTCTTATTTATTATTTAATGAGAAATTTTAATTTATAAATATTAATAAATATTTCTTACTCGTACATTGCACGGGATTCGTACTAGTAAGGATTAAATAAATCATTCCCTAAACGGACAGGTGTTGTCATATGATGTCTTTAACTGATTCTTATATATATAAGAGAGATACATTTAATAATTTAATATTTTGGTGTAGTGGTATGATTATCAAATCCCGTGCAAAGGATCTGAGTTCAATTTTCTCGTTCTGTTTTCACTTTATATACATATTATTTTGTTTTCTGTTTTTTAATGCTTTTTAACTAGTGTGTACCAGTGCGATGCACGGGAACAATATTAAATTAACAATATTATAAAGACAAAATTGCATTTTGTGCCCTGTAACTATGCTTGTGTGGCAAACGTGGACAACTTCTTTCTAGTTTAGCAAAAGTGCCCTGAAACTTGTTAAAACCCATAATTTGTACCCAATTTACCTACAAGTTACTGGATTTGATCGGATTTTTGTGTGGCAAAACAGGACAATAACTTGTTAAAATTCGAAATTTGTGCCCAAATTGGACACGAATTTCGGTTTTTAACAAGTTTCAGGGCATTTTTGTCAAACCAAAAAGAAGTTGTCCACATTTGCCACACACCGCTAGTTACACGGCATAAAATGCAATTTTGCCTATTATAAATAGACCTCGAGTTTGAGTCACCCAATGGCGTAGGTGGAAACTACTATTGATCCTATTTAAAAAGAGAAAGAAAAAAAATAATTATAAATTAAAGAGGAGGATAAACAATACTTAATCATTATAAATTAAAGATTCGGGGTCAAACAATGTAAAACTATTTTGTATAAGAGAATATGAAATTTACATTATTTTGTATAAGAGAATATAAAATTTGTATGTTTAACATTAAAAACACCTAGAATATTATATTAGTACATGTAAAAGTATTCAAAATTTTCTATATTATTTTTTAAAGATGTGAAGTCACCTACAACTTTTCTAAACAATTTTAGAAGGAAAACATATCTAAAAACATTTAAATTTAACATTGTGTGAAAAAGATTTTTCTAGACTATTTTGTAAAGAAAACATGTCTACAAATATTTAAATATAACATCAATTATGTATATGTGTGTGTATATATATATATATGTATATATAGACGAATATGCAAAAAAAAAATATCTAAACAATTTGTTTAAAATATCTAAAATAATATAAGCATAATTTAAAAAAGACATTATGTCAGATGATACCGAATTTATGGCGTTACTTCCATCTAAAAAATTTGATTACACACCATTATTATTATAATTTTTACGTTGTTATCGAGGATGTATTGTTAGGTTATAATATTTGTAAACATATTAGTAATTAGACCGATGAAAATTAACTTTTCAAAGTAGAGAATGAATTTCTAGTAGTAATTATGAATTGATTTTTATTTTATTTTAAGATGAAATTTTTTAAGTTAACACTTAAAAAATTCAGTGAATTTTTTTTTTAGCCAAGTAGAAATGTAAAACATAAATTTTAGCCATGTTGTTGGAAAAACATCTTTTTTAGCCATTTTGGCACCTAAAAATACCAAAATACCCTTACTATCTATTTTTCTTAAAAAAAAAAATTAGAAATCGTCAATTTCTGGGGTCCAGAAATCATTTCTGGGCTCCAGAAATGATCGTTTCTGGGCTCCAGAAACGATTTCTGGGCTTCAGAAATGATCATTTCTGGGACCGGAAATTGATTTCTGGACCCCAGAAATCGTTTCTGGTTCCAGAAATGCCAGAAATCCAAGAAATGATTTCTGGTCGCAGAAATCGTTTATGGACCATTTCTGGAGCCCAGAAATCGTTTATGGACCCCAGAAATCCTAAAAATTCGAAAAACGATTTCTGGGACTGGAAATCGATTTTCGGTCCCAGAAATTCAAGAAATGATTTATGGTTGCAGAAATCGTTTCTGGACCCCAGAAATCGTTTCTGGTCCCAGAAATGCCAGAAATCCCAGAATTAATTACTGGTCGCAGAAATCGTTTCTGGATCATTTCTGGAGCCCAGAAATCGTTTATGGACCCCAGAAATCCCAAAAATCCGAAAAACGATTTTTGGGACCAGAAATCGATTTCCGTCCCAAAAATTCAAGAAATGATTTCTGGTCGCAGAAATCGTTTCTGGTCCCAGAAATGCCAGAAATCCCAGAAATGGTTTCTGGACCAAGAAACGATTTCTGGTCCCCGGAAATCTCAGAAATCCCAAAAATGATTTTTGAATCATTTTTTGAATCCCAAAAACGAATTTTGAATCATTTATGGACCCAGAAATCAATCCAAGAAGTTGGTTCTGGTTCAAATTTTATTTGCTTTATTATGTAAGACATTGACGCATGTATAAGACATGTTCTTTTTTTACATTGTCATGTCAAAAATATGTCAATTGAAAAATATGTAAATTCAACAATCATACATGTATGCTCGACCTCAGTCGCTCAGCCCCTAGAGGTATATAATGAGTGACCAGGAGCGTGATAATAGTACACCAAGTCAAATACAATAAAGCACAAAAGTCTCATAATGTCGCGTATGACTTCGTTTACAAGGATCATAATAAATCTTAGGAACTTTTGTCTGGATATTTTCATATGTTGATGAGAGAAAATCCTAGAAACACCACATGCTATGAGACAAATGACAATGTTGTGTTCATATACGCATTCATTGCCTTACATACTTCCAACGAATTCACTAATTGTTGTCGCCCTATGATGGTGATTGATGTACCCATTTGAAAGGTCAATATAAAGGCATTATGTTTGTAGCAACAACAAAAGATGACACTACAACAAATGTCATTATTTACATAGGTACCATACATTAGTGCCATCTAAAGTCCCAACAATAGAACTTTGCACAAATTTTGAATATTTTTTGCAAGGAATTTCTAAAATCAACCATTTCTTAAAACAAAATATCAATCAACAGTGTTCACATATCCATGTTTAAAGGTCAAATAATGAAGCGTACACCGAGTCACTCTACAGGAAACCTCATAACCTAGAGACTGAAGCACAAACTTCACTTGTAACGCACTTCCTAATGCGTGCTGCGGTTTAACAACCCCTAAAATGATATGTAGAGGTCTTTATTATTCATCCCGAAAATCTCTTCAGCTTTTCTCAAAGTCTCCTGAAAGTACCAAAGCTAATGAATAAGCAAGCCAAAAATCAAAAGCGTTAATTTTTTATTTTTTATTTTTTGTTTGAACACAATATTGAAGAAGGTGCGTCAAAAACCAAAATATAAATATCCACTTAACAATCAATCCCAAACAAACAGTACCACAAAGGTGTATTAAAGTTCAACCCTAAAAGCAAATCTTTTTATTCCACCTAGTACACGGGTATTGTACTAGTACATTCGAAAAAAATTAAAAAAATGAATGGATAAAAAAAGTATATTGTGCATGTAAAACATCATCTAGGACCCAAGCATTCATGGTACATTTCCTAATCAGATGTATACATGTTTGACATGATTAGCCCCGAAACTCGCTGCACAAACTGGGCACTTACGGTGACGGGATTCAACGATTTTTTCCTAATTTCTCATATAACTGCACAGGATTCTCCTAGATTACGGCGAACCATGGATATTATATTACACCTTCTTAAGACCACTTCAAAATGAACCATGGATATTATATTACACCTTCTTGAGACCACTTAAAAATGAAACATACCTCTTTTCTTCTATCAAGGCAAACAGTGCATTTAAGAATTTCCTTATATTCCCTTAGCTCCAGCTGGAGCTTTTCAGCTAAGGAACCCTCTGCTTGTGATTTCAGTAGTTCGGCTTTCCTGCGTTGAGCATCCAAATCCTTCTCTACCCTTTTCCTTGCAAACCTATACACAAGAAAAAAGACTATCAAGAAGCGAATGAACCTTCAAGTAAAACCAAAAATCAGAAGAAAAAAAATGTTTTCCATAAGGCGAAGCAACAATTGAAATATTTAGTCAAACTAACATAAGTAAAGAAAATATCAAACTAAACCTGTCTTGACGAAAAAATTCCTTTGCATCAATTCGAGGAGTGCGGCATGAAAATAGTCCACGGAAATTTTGAAACGCCACGAACTAATGGAGGGTGTGTGGAATCATACTCAATGCACTTTGATATCATAAAGTAGTTCTATTCCCTTATGATGATACCTCATAGATCACAGCTGCTCCTTTCTGGGTGCCACCTCCTCCAATTATATAAACCTGGGGCCAATTGCATAATTACAATTAACAGACCAATTGCATAATTACAATAAACATGGCAACCAATATCCAAATCATCAAATGTAGTTTTACTTTTATATATAATTATTAATGCAACAAATGGAGCACGAGATAACCATAGAAAAAATTGTTTTCTCAGCATATTTGTATGCAAAAGATATTACATCTTCACATATTAAGAACCGACAGAATAAACCGCGCAAATGTTTTTCGGCAAAAAAAAATAAGATTTCTAATACTTCAACACAGGAGAATAAAATTTCCCCATCTCCACAGGCATTCTTTTATTCATGAAGACTGTAAGAATTTAAAAAAACCAGGGAGAAAATCAACACACTTCTCAAATAAAAGCACCACAACGACTAAAAATAAGAGAGAAAGGAGCATTTCTCTTTCCAGTTCCCACCTCATATACTTAATTTCATAAAGGAAGTACACACAGTTAACGAATATACCTCTGGAACATGGACAAAAACCACCCTTTCTATCAACGGCTGTTGTCTACGAGAGCATCCTCATTCCTCAAGCTTAAGGTCGAAGGAATGCCTGTTGTCTGGCTCCACCGATCTGGGCTGCGCCCGAGCCAAGCCAAGAACCTCTAAACGAAGCTTTGAAAATCAACGGCTTAGTCGAAGCTCAGATCTGTCACCCCTAGCATCATATNTGTTCTTCTTGCACGATTGAAAGTGGAAGTGAATAATTTGGGGGAATTATGTTGTGAAATATTGAATTTGAGAGGAAAGAAAAAAAATGGTGAAATTATAATTGTGTTTAAGGGTAATGTAGTAAAAATACATGCCAAAATGGCTAAAAAAGATGTTTTTTATAAAAGGTGGCCAAAATTTGTGTTTTGTAAATTTTAATGGCTATTTAATGGTATTAACACTTAATCTCGTGACATCGTGGATTTTGTAGATAAGAGATAAACTCTAGATTTATGCTATGAGATTTTATAACGCGATTTTCAACACCAAAAAACAGGAAAAAGGAAAACAGATTCTAACATAATTAATCTGCCGATTTTGTTGTCTTATCAATATTGTCTAATAATTACTATATATAGGATACATTTAATGTATTTGGCGGGAAAATATTTCTAAAATTGTAAAAAGGTTATTCTTTTTATATAATGATAGATTTCAGTCAAAACTCAAATTCAGAAGCCCTATAATCTATACTTATATTAAAGGGAGTCCTATTTATCAAATTAAGTAGCTAGAAAAGTCAACAACATTTATTGCATTACTATTTCCGTATTATACAATCTATACTTATATAAAAGGAGATTCTATTTACTACATTTACTATCCAGAAAAGTCAATTGCATTAAATGCCATTACTATTTTGGTATTATAATATTTTATTTATTTAATTGATTTATTTATTTGTTTTATTTTACAAAAGTAAATATAATAAAAAGATTTTAATAATAAAAAAATCAAATACCAAATAAAAATGTACACTTTGACTTATTTGATTATATTTGGTATTTGATTATACCAAATATATTCCTATTTAGTATATACATTAAATACTTACTAAAGTATTTATTTGTTTTATTTGTCAAAGTTAAGTATAGATTTGTTTATATTATCAAATCATAAAAGAATATTAAATCCATATTGTAAAAAAAAAATTCATATAATTTATAACAATTCTACTACACTATTTAACAATATTTTTTTTATTATATAATAAAATAATAATTAAATATTATATGGTGAACAACAATAAGTAAAACTGTTACTTTCTCTTATATCAAGGGATAAATTTATATGCTAAAATTAAATTTTTATTAGTATAAATGTTTTAGTGAGATAATATATTAATTATTTTACAAGCTAGCCCTAACATGCTCATATTTAATGTTTTAAAAGATGTAGAAAAACTTATAATAACTCTATTGTTTTTTAGACTTAAACATTGATTAAAAGAGGTAAAAATTTCTAATTTTTTAGACTTAAACGTTGATTAACACCATAGATTGAGAGTTTATATTTAGTAAAATTCCTAATTGTAATAAAAAAAAAATTTTGCTATATTTTAGAATATCTTTCAGCTATATATTGATTTATTGTACTCCTCAAATCACATTCATAATTTGGCTACAAGGAAAAGAAACTCATTGATTAAAATATTATTTTGTCAGTAGTCTTAATGTACAAGAGACTTTAAGACTCCAGTTGAATATTATAAAACTTTTATTGAACATTGTATAATTTTCTTGTCTATTATAAACTTTTATTGAATATTCTCCAAATAAATATATCCTGTACTTTGCACGCGTCACGTACATTTTTTTTTATTCATCTATATAATTATAAACCTAGATAAATAGCCTTAAAATTGTGTTTGTACTAATCTTTTACTTATGTCCCGTCTTCAGTCCACTCTTCATTTTATTTCTCGTCCTCTTTGTCTCTTTCATCCCATCCTCTTAAATTTTAAATTTACTTTCGCCGAAACCAGCGACACGGGCGAAATCCCTCAATTGCCATCCAGGAAGTCGGCGACGGTGAAGATTGTGGGTTGCCGTTTAGGAGCTCCAAGCTTGTTGTCTCCGATCACAGGGCGCTGGGCTTGGGGCTTGGGGATGTCGTGCTCACGTTCAACTGTTAAGTGTTAACCGTGCATTATAGAGGAGCTCCGAGCTCCTTGTCTCTTGTCCTAAAAGGTGTGTTCTTTTTTCGTTTCTTTATCTATGTAACAATTGGGAATTTGGGATTGTTATATATGTGTGTCAATCAATATATGTATACACAATTTTTATTGTACACAGATTTGATGAACTTAGGAGAAAGTTTGAATAAACAAAATTTTGGGATTTTATAAAGCTTGATTATTTGATTATTGGATGATAAGAGCTTTTGTAATCAACTAGAAATTAAAATTTGTTCTAATGCGGCACTTTTTCACTAGATAGGAATTACCAGCAATACTTGTATTTCTTGTGTATATTTGTCAGTCATTTCAGTAAATTGAGCGAGAACTTCACAGAGACTAATATATGTTTTTTCTAGAGAATAGACCTCTCTATACTCAGTTTTGAAGTTAGAAAGTTGGCCCTTTTCGACAAAATTTGAGACCATACCTCTTCAGTCTTCACTAGAGAACATACCTCTCTACACTAGATGTTGTTGTGGCATTAAAGTTTGAACTTCTCAGTTTTCTTTGTGAAGTTCTACTAAATATACTTTTATTATACTTATAATTATAATTTATTGTAGATGTCAAGACAAGAAGAAATAGATGGAGGCAACAATTCCCAAACGGGACAGACCGATAAGACTCAAATGATCCAACATCTTTAGCTGGCGCTCAATCAAAAGTTAAAAGAGTTAAAGAGAGACATAAGAGAGAGCTAAGATCAAAGGATAGGATCATTTTATCAAAATTCTTGATGAAAATAAGAATCTCAAAGGAGCTAATTGCAACCACTGACGACAAGCAATATGCTTGTCATTCAAAGCGAAACGCTACCTCGTCACTTCTTGTTCATATGTATAGTTGCATGAAAAAATCCAAAAAATGTTGATGCTAGCCACGTTTCAATAAATGTGCAGCCATAAAAAGAGGGTTTTGTTTGGTTGGGTTGCTTGGAAATATGATTATGGGGAGATTCGTGAATCTATTGCATATATGATATGTTTTGATGAGCTGCCATTTAAATTTGTGGAAAGTAAAGGGTTTAAAAGTTTGATGAGTAGAGCATGTCCTAAGTTTAAACTTCCTTCTCGGACCACTATTACAAGGAACTGTTTTGATTTGTATGTTATAGAGGTCGAAATTGAATCTTTTTGAAAAGAAATTGTCAAAGAGTTGGTCTTACCACCAACACATGGATATCTTTGTAGAAAATGAATTACATGTGCATTACCGACCAATTGAAATATGCACAAAAAAAAAAAAAAATATTGCATTGTGTGCCCGTTACTAGTATTATAATGTTTAATTAGTATTATAATCATCTTTTTAATTTGTTAATCTATTACTATAAAATACAGAGAAGAAAAAATGTTTGAAAAAATATTTCAATTTCCGGCTTAAAAGTTGTTTTCCCCCCTAAAGTTTAATTTGAAATTTTTTCATGCAGGTATTTGAATTGTTTTTATTTCATGCATGCACGTTTTCAGTTTTTTTGAGATTTGGATTTCATTTGTATAGATATATATATATATATATATACTCCCTCCTATTCATAATAAGTATCGTTTTGGGAAGTGCACACTAATTAAGAATAATATTTTTGTCAATAATAACCCTCATAATGAAGATAGAGATGAATGTTTTAAAAAAAATGAAGAAAATATGAAAAGACGTAATGTATTTATTAACTAAATGAGGGTAATAATGGAAAAATATGTACAAAAGATCCAAAACGATATTTATTTTAATTAATAGTTGATAAAGCCAAAATGATATTTAAAAAGAACAGGAGGTAGTATAAAATATTTTGTTTGACTAAGCTCACCTGTCTACAAATCACATTTTCATATGTCTACCGATCTGTTTTTTTTTTCCTGCTTTTAGGTAATCAAGCCGAGTTTAAATTATGGTATCATCTATCAAATGAGTAATTGTTTAAGATAATTAGCCGTGAAAAAAGGAAATGAGTTTG